AACAAGTGGATGGCTGCCACAAATATTCTACTTCGACATCGATTCTTGAGGGCAGAACTCCTCGAAATTACCGTCATGCGCCATTTTCTAAATGGTAGTCGCCACGAGAAACTGTTTAGTTCGAGGGTTGATTGACAACGTGTTGCTCTCAGCCAATGGGAATTTTTCGTCCATACGAGATCGGAAATTTCGTTGGTTAGTGAGGGTCTGTGGCAAGCCCTCCCTCTCCCCTCGGCACATTCCGCTCGCCCCAATCCCCCTCCTCTCCCCCAGGGCTTGCTTCGCAGGCTACATTTGCCAGGTAGGAACCTTGTACGATTTATAAGAAGTTTCTTAACTAAAACGTTTTTGACAGCGCGATCAAAGAAATTTCAAATTAGGGGCAAACCTCTCAACAACCACTTTTCTGCTCAAACCTTGTAATTTTTAATCACAAAATAACGTCCTCAGAATGCAAATATTAATCCAAGGAGAAGTCTTTTAACAGTCTTACAATTTGTACGCAGAAATGTGCTCGGAAGCTGTATCCTCTCGGGTGGTTCTCTCTTATGTGAATTTCGTATTTTCTCGTTGATGGGTCGTTTTGTTTATTGCAGGTCTGGTTCACCTACCACATCTGTACGCTAGTTTTCAGGACAGTCAGTACAAGAGTGTGTTCGCCATTTGTCTCCCTTACACCGATCCTTTCAAGTAAGGATATCTGATTTTTTCAATTTAGTTTCAATACTCCTTTATGTTATCTCTTTTCAGTTTTTTTGTTATTTTAAACTTTTTATGGTTTTTGCACTCCACAGATATTCTCAGTACACCATAACGCTTGCCTATCACGTGATTGCTGCGTGGTTTATTCGGTCCCGTGTGGCGTACCGCAAAGCATTTGTGGGATTTGTCAGTAAGGTAAGAGATGCAATAGACTATATGGGTTGACTCAGATGTCCCAATAGGTACGGCGTAAAAACTACAACAAATTTAGATTGAAGTTTGTTTAAATCCTGTTGTAAACTTTATGGGCTTAGTTTGAAATACGTATTGCCTAAGGATGAGTTGTCAGGTATTGACATTATGATCTTAGTATAGTTTTGAAGATCTCTGAAAGACACTTATAATTTACTCGGAGTTTACATTTTTTTAGGGTACGATAACGCACTCCTGAACAGTAAATAAAACCTTGACGGAGCTTGAGAAGTGATCAATGCGTTACCTTCTTACTTTGAAGTAATAGCGGACACAATCTTCAATAACCCCTCTTTTAGAGCACCCCCCGTTACAAAGGATACAAACCCTTTTCTCAACTCATGAAAAAATACCCCTTTATCCTTTAGGTCTGACATCTTTTTGGAAGGAATACCTCCGTTTATTATACACTTTTAATTACCGTTGACTGGAGTTTCCTTTGTCCTAATTATGGTTGAATTTGGTCCCTTGCATTTCAAAGCGTCTGCATCTTCCTGTCTTCAGGGTCTCAAATCAAGTGCTATAATTCCGGACCGTTATGAACCCAAACCAGAAAATCCCTCCTTAGCAACAGCCAAATCTCGCACTGGAAGCTTCACAAATCAGCCCTCGCCCCAGTTTCATAATCGGTCGAACTCGCCCGTGGTTCTCAAGGAGACTGAAGCAGCGTGTGAGCTGCATGCTGAGATGAGTGAAGTGTGCATGGACATGATGGCCAGATACACGTTTGCCCCGTGTATGTCACAGCCAAACAGGTTAGAATTTAAGAGAGAACGTAATCGTTTATTTCACGATGTGGTCACTTGGGATATAGATCGCGACGTTTCGAATAATTGGGACTTCCATTTTTTTGTTCATAAAATTTGAAGAAATATTCAACCTTGGAGACTAAAGATGGTACAGTGCCGTACATCTCCATGACACGGTCCTCAACCACTGAAATTCTTAAGTCGTTTTTCTTGAAACCAGATTAACCATCAAGACAAGACTAGACTAAGAATTTTTGTTTCATGTTCAGGACCAAGGCGGTGGAGTTTATGTTAGCTAATGGCTATTCTCGTACTTGGATGATCGGTAATACAATAACAACCATAACGACCTCTGGTACTTATATCGGCCAGGACGGTGTTTGCGACAACTGCCAGGCGCTAAGACATAGAGCAGCAGATATGTCTCCAAGGGAGAGTGAAAAAACAGCGAGGAATTCCAAACAGAAGAACACTGTGGCGGATGTCGCGACAGACGATTCTCATGTCCAGTCTCCCGATGAAAAAGCACTTGGAACTGGGACTCAGAATCCCGCGGGCGTTGATGAATCTTCGAAGCCTGAGGCGAAGTCAGAGTTTCACAGCGGTGCACTATCAGACCGGCGGCTAAGTGGGCAGTTTGTAACCATCAATCCACAAAATTGTCGTTGTGTTTGCCAAGGCTGGGCTGAAATCTTTATCCGTCGACCCAGCGGAAACATCTCTTGGATTATGCGTATTCAGAATAAGGCTATGTCATCGTTAGATAGTGACGTCAGTACTGCCCTTTTAGATGACCCTCAGATCGATGAATGTAAGTTTGAGGCTTCGTAAAATTTAGAGCTCGGTTTTTCTCTGTCATGTCTAGTAAACAAAAACGCGCCGAAAGACTTTTTTAGCTTTGTGCATAACTTGGTCATTTCATGTTTTGTTCACATCCTTAGAGAACTTTTCTCCTAAGGTTACACGGTTACGTTCACGAAGATTACGTTTAGTGGAAAAATAAAAGAACACCCGAGGAGAGACGATCTACCAATCTTACAAATGAAACTAAAGAGATCAAGTGTTTCACCTTGCACTATACCATCGTTTGTTTCCTCATCTCAAAACGGCATTTCAGCTGAGACTATTAATTCTCTTTTCGTAAAAATTGTTCAGGTAGTGTAGGTCCTCCTGATGTTTGTTAACTTCTCACCTCCTATTTTCTCTTCTCTTCTTATCTCTTCCTCTCTTTTTCATTCTCCTCTTTCCTATTCTCTTCTTTTCTACTCTCTTCTTTTCTCTTCTATTCTCTTCTCTTTAGTTTCATCTCCACACAGTGAAAATCAGGGAGAGGTCCTGAGCACCAGTACTGAGAGTGGCTCTGTTATTATTGACGTGGTCAGACAAACTAATCTTCCAGATGGGTTGGGAGGAGTTGCTTTTCACGATACAGGTAGGGAAATAGTAAACGCTGACGCAAAATTAATAGCGAGAGCTCATAAAATGAAGGTATATGAGGGGAGATGTTATCAACGCATGAAATCGTGCGTTAAAAACCATGAACGCTGTCGCGACTAGCTCGTTCTCGTTCTCGTTCTCTCTCGTTCTCTCTTCGTTTCCAGGTTCACTCGCTCTCACTACACGGGGCAGGAAGAGGAGAGACTTGGGGAACGACGTTGCCGCGTCAGCCCGAAGTTTGCGCTTTTTAACTCTAAATGGCATACTCGTTGCGTTTATTGGATTCACCATGCATGACCAGTTACTTATTACTATATCTTTTTTATGATTTATTCATTTATTTATCTGCTCTTTTGTTTGGTTATTGTGGATTTGGCGAAAAGCTCTGGGGGAGTCCGTCGCTTCTTCTGGCTGGCAACATGGCGGCATGGATAAAGACAAAAATGTTGATTCACCTCAGCTAGATCCAGTGCTTATTTATTCGCAAAGTGCCAGCACGGCCACTCCACCAAGCACACCAGTGGGGTCTGTAGATTCAGAGCTGTTAGAAGGAAGGGAAAGACTCCTCAGCAGGAGCCCGAGCAAGGGACCTCATGTTTTTACGGTAAATTTCCAACAGTTGTTGAGGTTTAAACTCTGACGATATCTAAAAGTTTTGACACTTTAGGCGTGAATCAAACGTTAGCTACTTGGTAAAAATGGTGCCGACAGACTCTTTTAAGAGTCTTGTGTTTAAATTATTTAAAAATTAGCTCATACAGAGATGGTCTGATCAGTGAGAGTACAAAAGAATTCTTAATGGTTGATAAGGGTCATCATAAAACGGATGAAGTAGTTGGTCTTATCTTCGCTCTGATTTGTTAACCCTGTAACTCCCAGAAGTGATTAACATGAACCTTCTCTCTTTAATATCCATACATTATCCAGCAAACAGGTAATGAGAATACTCAAGCTTATCAGGTAGAAGTTGTGATCCGATGTAACACCAACTTCTTGTAACTAATTAACAAGGAAATGTGTGACAGCTATAGGGGAGAATTAACAAACAGATCTTGGGAGTTAAAGGATTAAACCAAGTTAAATCAGATGAAGTGACCATGGAAAGTAACTACGCCTTTCTCTTCACATCTCTTTTTTTTTTTTTTCTTCAGATGCAGGAATCTGGATGCTCAGACATACTTGGAAGCTTGGAAAGAACTCCGAACGAAGGTGACTTGTTGTAGTTTCATTGCCTTTGGGATATGGTGTATTTTGAATTGATGTTTGTACGAAATTGACTGATATTTTGTCATCTTTGATATTCAGATGTTCCCCCAAACAAGACGAGAAAATTTGATAAGGTAATAAAAAATTGTCTTATACTGGTCACACCGCACATGTAAATACGTTTAGAACACGCACAGGTCACATTTTCGAATCAACGTACAATCATAAATTGCTACAGAGCTTTACTTCAAAGGCCACAGAACCTTCACATCACATTAACGAACGATGGAGACTCAAGATTCAGGACAGCTCGTTGCTTATACTGTCGCACGGCGAAAGATTTGACGTCGTATTTTACCCTACTGGACATTTCTCACTGTCAAACAAATGTTTAACACGCAGGGGTGTTATATGTTAAGGGTCTTAACGGGATTTTGGGGGGATGTCAAGATGTTTTATTTATTTATTTATTTATTTATGTATTTATTATTTATATATTTATTTACTTGTTAGTACTTGTTAACCAGACTGGCCCCGTTCAGCCACAAACTGGTTTGATTTTAATCCGTGTTACAGGAAGGGGGTTGATGTCACACAGTTGTCCAAGGACCCATCTCCTACCTGCTGCGCTCTTGATGCGACGTTTATTACCACGATTTGTTAAGTTTATTTTCCGTTATTTCAGCCAGAACTTGGTGTTTCTCCTGCTGACCCTTCCCCAGTCTCATCTCTGCCAAGACATTACCAGTTAGAGCAAAAAAGAAGAGACGAAACCAAATATCTGTCGTCATCCGAGATGTACAGGGTGAGAACTTCTTGTTTTTTTATGCATGCACCAGATAACATAGTGGCGAGAGCGGCAGCAACACCAACCAATTACCAGTACCGCTGTTAAGTGTTTTCGCTATAGTTTTTTGTGTGAATATTATTCACAATTTCTATGGTAAACGTTTATCTTTCTTTGCAGCTTGCGAGTGACGAAGAGAGTGTACAGTCTCTCAATATTGAGGAGAATCCTGATCACGCTGGTGAGAAGCGTTTTGCGAATTTAAGAGACGGGTAGTTAATAACACTGTAACAAACACCCGCGTTTTATCACCTTGCTTATCAATATTGATCTGTTTAAAAACGGTGTTAGTCATAACAACTTTCATCCGAGTCGCCCGTCCCCCTCAGAGAAAATCTCCTTAAGATCCGCACAACTACCCTTTTTTCATGTTCATCTTTTACTTTTCTTCTCCTTCGTTTTCCTTTCTTCCTTTTTCGCCCTTCGTCTCATATTCATCCCCATTTTTATTTCTTCTCTCGCGCTACGTTATATTTCTTGCACTTTTTGCCTTCTCTTTTATTCGTCCTCCCCTTAGTTTTCTTTTCCCTCTTAATCCTGTCCATTTATTTCCTCCTTATGTTATCCTACCTTCCCCCTCTTTCTTCTCAGTCATTTTTTCCCATCTTCTTCCCTACCTCGCCCTTCTCAATCCCCTCCCCTGCCCCCTTATTGCTCACATCCTTTCCAACTTTTACCCGGTTCTCCCTTCCGTGCTTTATCAATGCAAAATTGACAGTAGTTGTTCTATTCTGTCATTTTCAGGAGACCAAAAGATAGAAACTACACAGACTGACGTTCCTCAAAGCGGGACAGTCACCCCACCCAAGAAGGCCGAAAGACCGAAATCAGTTCCATACCAGTCTCTCAAGGTAGAGCGTGGTGTGATCAGGGAGAGCCCGGAGTTTGCTTTGAATACGGAATTTACCGAACAGGATGGCAAACCAGCTCTAACAACAAACTTTGACTCAGGTGTAAACCAGCCGAAGCAACATAGTGATAAACTAGACACTAGCGTTCAGGCTCCTAGGAATGTGAAGTTGAGAAAGTCTTCCAGTTTGAGTTCACCCATCAGGAGGAAGAAAGACTTGGATCATTCGGAGCATTCTCCATTTGCATCCCCTCGCCAGGGAAGAAGTTCAGTTGCAGTGAAAAGTAAAGAAGCAGAGGACAGGCTCGATTCGCTGGCCAGCGTTGGCGATCCGAAGAAAAGTACTTCGTCACCGGAGTTAACTTCACCACCGGCTTTCCCTAAAGGTACAAAGATACAAGTAAGGTACTCTGGTAAAATGCGGCTCTGAAGACAAATTGTGAAATTTTGGACTGTGTGTAAGTCCCTGTATTATTTTGCCTTCGCAGCCACGTCTCACAAGTGCGCCATAGTTTCTTTACATCTTTTGTATTTGGAACTCAAAACCGTCATTATTATGCCATGCTAACGAGGCTAAATGCAGAGGGCTCGTACTATGCAATACCTTTTGATTGCAAAGACAGATTT